TGTTCCCGTCACACCAATATTATTTTTTCACATGGGTACACAGAAACAGACATACACATTTACACATAATATGTAATATATAGATTATGGGTATATATTTTAAATGTATACATATATAAATAATTTCAACCTCTTTTGTAATAGTAGTGTACTAATATTGTTCCATTGTAATAACCTACTATTTACAGCAAACACACCTGAGCGATGCGCGGTTCGCTGACGATTCCATCTACAGTCGTTCATTCTACCAACACGATATCTGTCGTGCCAAGCCAGTCATACATCCTGACCATATAGTTATGGCCGGTGAATTTCAGGACGAAACGGTGCACAAGGTTCGTTTAGTGTTTCTATTTGTAATACAAATATAAAAACCCCTTCCACAAAAATTAAATTTTATTATATTATATTATTATTATTACCTACCAATTATGGAGCTTACGTTTAAAGTATTTGTAACATAATTCAGTATAGGCGTGTCTAGTGTCTGTAAGTGAATATTATACATGAACATATTTATAAAAACATATTTTTACAAGCCCCAGTAACTTGGTTTATTTATTGGTAATTGCATCGTTTAACTACTGTAGTTGAGTTACCCAGTACAATGTGCGCCAGTTGTGCAAAAAATCACTCCTAAGGACCATTGTTTGACGGGCACGGGACCAATGCGGCTTATAACCACTCAACAACATGATTATTACGGGCCATGCGATGCTGGCCGCCGAAAGAACATTATACCGATAAGCAACCTTATCCGATCTGAATGTCCAATGGCGGGGTTGACCACGACTAACTTATCGTACCAGCCCGTGTGCGCCGGGCCGATGGAGAATTACAAGCCACACACATGGTATGCGTCATAGTGACACCCGTTAGAGTTTTGGTTTAGGTGCGAGTGTATGTGGGCGAGCACCATTCTCCAAAACAACATTTCCCTTTTCACCCAAATTTTTAAGGTGAACATTTCAAAAAGCACTCAAAATAATTTATTCATGTGTAGTAGTTTAAAAAAGTAAATTAGCATTGCTTATACACATCACAAATAGGTAAGTTATGTATTATAATATAATACAAATATGGGTACGAGTATAAGAACGAGGCGGGTGAGGAACCAGTCACCGCATGTATGACGAGGTAAATTCTTATTCCGGACGGAGTATAAACAATTATGAAGGCAGTGCTTATTAAGATTTAGGAGAAATAAGGAAAAAATTATTTATTTAAATTTGGGCAGAAAAAGGATGTATTAAAACTGTTTAAAATATAATCTCCTAAAACTAAAATCCTTTTTTTTTAAAGTAAAATCTCGAGGAAAACCAAATCCCTTATTACTTCCAAAAACTATCGAACCCTAGCCCGGTGAAAGCAAAAATGCTTTACTATTTTCATTTCCAGACATTATATAATGTGTATAATATTACATATATAGTTATACCGTTCCTGTGGAAGGCATGGATATGAATACCGTGCAAAGATGCAGCTACAAACTTGTCGAACCCAATGAAAAACTTCCAACTCCGTGGGCAGAAAAACTGGAATATTGTAAGCCGGATGATGCATTAGAATGCTGTACTGTGTACAACTACAGGTAATTTTTTTTCTCAAAAATCTAAAATCATTGAATATAAAACTATATACTAATTTCAACACTATAAAACCGTCAACGTTATAATTGAGCTAACTTTACTTGGCCAGAAACATCTTATAAAAATTATATACTTTTCTAACAAAACATTGAAATTATTATTATAGTTACAAGGAACCGGGTGCATATATGTTGGATGATGGTTGTGGCAACACACTTGATATTGTAGCAGAAAGTACTTTAGGTAAGAAAATATTATAACGGAACTAACTGCCTACTGGCTACTAACCATATATTGTGTATAATACCAATTTTTTTTCGGCAGAAAATTGTTGTCCGCCTAGTTGTTTGGCTGATAATGTGGATGACGAATTTAAATCGCGATTCATTAAGGCTCATCAGTTTGATGATTAACCATTACAAAAATGACAGTATTTATAATAAAATCAAGGTCAATACGTGCGATTATTTAACTAAATACAAATTTTATAGCAAGTTAGCTCAAGATTATTTTACTATTTATATTTAACACTTTAACGCTCGCACTTAATTTTAAATTCAATAATTGAGGCAACTGTGCTATCCATAGAAGCCACCATTAATACTCCCCGTAGGAGCTGGATTTTTTTAAGCTAAAACAGGTTTTACATAGTACCTAGTCACTTTGTAATCATAGAAGAAAACTTGTTTAAAAGATTTAGAATTTGACTAAGTATGATTATATTACAATCTGGGAAAAAGTGCTGTACATCCCAAATGGCGCCCATCCATTGTTCGCTTATTCTTGTTGAAAAAGGGTTCACCCAAATTTGTCCAAAGTTTAGCTTGTGTATTTATATATTTTAGATTCTGAGTGGAACGATGTGTTTTTTTTTAAATTTTAAATTTTTTTTTGTGTCTGTCAGTCAAAGTGCTTGGATTTTCTTCAACAGTATCTTTTCTGATAGGAAAATGAATCTAGTTGGTACGTTGGAGGGCCAAAAGTAAAAATTTCCCAGTAGTTTTCAAAAGCGGCATGAAAAACAAAAGAAAAATTAAGAAAAACGGGAATTTGTACTCAAAATCTGTTTTCGAGAAAATAGATTTTGGTTTTTGGTGCAACTCTAAAACAAATGACCGTAGATGCATGAAATTTTTACTGACTGTTTATATAAGCATTTTCTATACACCATGCCTTTTTACAAATATTTTGACTTATTTTGAGCTGTTTACCCAGTGTGCATTAAATTTGGATATATATTCATCAAAAATAAATCTACCGTAGAATTTACGGTAATTTTAAGTAGGTGTTTTCCCAATCGAATCAACATAAATTCTAATATACCTTTACTATATATTTTAGTGTATGTTAATCGTTGATTTTAAGTTGATTATAGTTGTATTTATCCACGAATAATCACAGGTATTCAATATTGAATGAACTCAATTAGCATTGATTGTAATCGTATAATGTATATATAGGTATTCATCAACTATAAATCTACAGTAATATTATGTTGATTTAAAGTGAATAATTTCCTAGTTGAATCAACATGTATTCTACTATTTTCTCCATAGTATTAATTAAACGTATATTAAACCAACTCGAAATCCATGAATAATCCACATTTCCATGGAGCATGAACACATTTCCCAACAGACACTTATTTTTAGAATTCGTTGTCCGTTTGTATTTAATGATAATTGATAATAATAAAATAATTAATAATTATGATAATGCAAAATATATTATATATAATGAATATTGTGTTCGTTTTGTTTTTAATTTTTTAATTACCTACCTAATATAATAATATATAATACTCTCGTAGCCCGTAGGTGTAATATAATTTAATCAGTATAAACAAGTAAGTACCTATACAGCATCATTTTTATTATATTTTATAATAATTTTATATTATAGTATTTATTATATGTTTTGTGTTTATTATGACTTATAACCTTCTTATAATAGGTACTTTTTTTTCTGTATGAATCGAGGACCGGAGGAGGAACCGCGTTAGCATTATTTCTCCTCCGGCCGCCATCGTTTATTGCCATAAAAAAACAAGTTATTTTACATCAATATCGACAAGATTAGTCCCCGCAGACTGACAGACTTTCCGCAGCTAAGCTAGGGCCTAGTATAATATGTGTCTGCCAGTGGGCAAGGCCCGGGAATCAGTTTGCAATAAGTAATAATAAGTATATACATAGTAAATTTCAATCATTTATAATATCAGTTATATAAGTAGGTAGGTACGGTTTAATACATGCATTCATGTTTATTACGTAGGTAATCAAATGTAGCCACTACATAATAATTTGAGAAATGTTTAGTAGTGTCATCAGTATTTCGTAATTGATTGCTGCAAACGTTCTAGATGCTCATTGTGAGATTTAAACAATTATAAATTTATCAGTTTTTAAATTTTTCAGGTTACTAATACGTTATAATTGTTATTACTAATTTATGTAAAATCATGTAATGAGTAATTACAAATATAATTGTACAATATTACCTATCTGATTATTTTTCGGTAATATCAAAATATTTTTAAAAAAAAAACTATTGACTGCCGATACACTCTTTGACTAGAATTATTTTTATTTTGAGAAAATCAGTTTTATATTTATAGAATATGTAAAAGTTCATACCTACCTATATTTTAAATACATATTGGCAATTTTGATCAACCATAATTCAATGTCTTGCCTTTTATAGAATTTTCTGGGCTAATTTTTTTTATCTACTATACTTTTATACTTTCTATAACAGGAAAACTATTAGGTACCTATGTTCTTCATAACTACATCACTTGTCTTATTCTCCAGGTTTGTTTTGTTTACTTTGGGCATTGGGCCAAATGTTGATATTAGACGATTGTTTGATTTTCTCCTAAGTACCTACTTTATTCACAGTCAAGGCCATTGCTAATAGGTACCTACATTGTGTATTATGGTGAAAACAAATTGACAACTTAGATCAAGTTTTTTTTTTTCAAAATAATAACTGACTGATAGACAACCTGAACACTGACTTTATTAATTTACAACTAAATAATTTATAATAAAATCTTAATTTTCAAATAATATTGACAAAGTTTAACATCATAATTACTGAGTTATTTTCATTTTATTTGAACTTACATTTGTTACTGTAGGTATGTAGGCTTTGGTATTTTCCAAAAATAATTTTATCTACTTAATTTAGTCTGACTGTGTAGTCCTAATGGCCCATAGCCCATAATACTTCTAAACAGTTTGGCAGAATTATAATAATATTTTGCTTAAAGCATTAACTGTATTTTCTTTAATTACAACATTAGTATATATTCTATCAAGTAATAACGATTATACTGGGTGTGGCAGTCAAACCCGACGATTTTTATAAGAATTGGTGGGCAGGGTTAAAGTGGTAGAGTTTTCGGGAATGTTCTTATCGCTTTTAAATACTCGGAATTTAGTAATCATGAAGCATTGGTCGAGTGAACAGCGTGCGTTTGCGGTAAAAGCGTATTACAAAAGTAATGATAGTTTCGTAGGAGCTCAACGTGCGTTTCGCCGACAGTTTGGTTTATCTTCTCGCAATCCTGTGCCTTCTCGTGGTACCATCGACCTGTGGGTAAAAACTTTGAAACCACAACTAGCACGACTCAAAAGAGAGGTGGTAGTAAAAAAACTAGACGGACTCAAGAAAATGTAGAGTGGGTGAGACAAGCAGTAGGGAGAAGTCCCCGAAAGTCAGCCAGGCGTCACAGCAAAGAACTTCGCCTAAGTGATCGGACTGTGAGGAGAATATTAAAGCATGACTTGCGCTTCCATCCCTACAAAATTTAGGTAGTTCAAGCACTCAATCTACAAGATCATAATACCCGATTACGCTTTTGCCAACACATGTTGACGTTTTTCAATGAAAACGAAGGTAGGGTACACAACATATGGATGAGTGACGAAGCCCACTTTCACCTAAGTGGCTTCGTCAACAAACAGAATTTTTGGTATTGGGTGGAAAGTAATCCACAACATCAGCATGAGAGACCTCTCCATTCACAAAAAGTAACAGTATGGTGTGCTGTATCATCATTTGGAATAATCGGCCCACATTTTTTCGAGAACGAATCGGGCAGCGCCGTTACAGTGAACTCCGAACGCTACTGTGATATACTAGCCACATTTTTTTTCCAGCACTTGAAGAATATGACACAGATGAAAACACACTTTTTCAACAAGATGGTAAGACAAGCCATACTGCACGAATCTCAATGGATCTGTTGAAGCTAGCATTTACAGGGTGTCTCATTAGTCGGAAGGGCGACATCCAGTGGCCTGCTCGAGACCGGACTTGTCACCGGACTTGACGCCTCTTGATTTTTTCTTTGGGGTTATTTGAAAACCAAGGTGTTCGAAAATAATCCACCAAGGACTATTGTTGACTTGAAGGAGCGAATTCGCCTTGAAATCAATAACATAACCTTGGAAACACTTCCCAACGTCATGGGAAGCTTCGCTGTCGGACTCTCACAATGTGTGGCTAACCAAGGAAGGCATTTGCCTGACACAATCTTTAAAAAATGAAGTCTTTAAATATATAACATAAAATTCCACTCGTGTACTTTTTATTTGTTTGGCGAAAAATTAATAAAAAATTTTTTTTCTATTTTTTTTTATTTTTTCAAATCGTCGGATTTGACTGCCGCACCCTGTAGTACATAGCACCAATAAAAATTAATAATTGATAGGTCAACTGAAATATTACCACCGGAAATTCAATCATCATCAAATGATTTTTTTCACAATGACATGGAAATGTAAGTGTTTACATCATTATAATACTATAAAGTATAAATGTAAGTATAATAAATCTTTAACTCATTTTTATATGAACAAAATTAATGTTTTATAGGTCAACTAAAATGAATTACTAAATAAAGACATTGAAATGTAAGTGTTTAATGTTTGTTGCTTATCTTATATATTCAAAATAAGTTTTAATTACTATTTTTATGCTTATAGATCTGAAGAAAATCCTATACTATCTACTACTGTTAAAGGTCATCAAAAGAATGAAGATGGTATTAAATTCACTAGTGAAAAAGGTATTATTTTCATGAGTTTATAAGGACATTACATTGTTTTTACTTAAAAACATTATTGGTTGTATAAATGTTTTGTTGCGGTGTGCCGTGTAAACGTTGTATTGCATTAGTATTATTAGTATTGAGTGGTAAGTTTGGTACCTAACATTCTGTAATTTTAAGTATGTCGATTCAATTTTGAATTTGTTTTCATTTTTATTTTTAACAGTTTATTCATTATTTAAAAAAAAAAACTAAAATTGTTTTCTAATTATTAAGGGAATTTAAAACTTTTTGTAGACAAAACTAAAGTTACAAGTTTTATGGATACAAAAATATTGTTTTATAGTATTGTAAAACCAGGTGTGTCCAAAAAAATTAAAGTGATAAACTGCAAAAAGTTTGTTATTATGGAATTACTAATTTTTTGCTTAATACTCTAATATTAATCTTTTTAAATCTTATATTATTTGAAACACCTACAATTACTTTAGTGCAATTTGACATTTTTCTATGCATCTTTTTGTAAAAAGCATATAAAATATTAATATTAAATTTGATAATAATGCAATTAAGTGATTTTTGTAAAATATTGTACATGTGCCCTTTCTATATTTAACGATTCATATAGTATATTACATTATGTGGGTATTCAATTAAACCTTTTCTAGTAAACTTAATATTCTACAAAAATCGGTCAATGCTTCTATTCAAGTTGGCAATACATTTGATGAGAGGAATGCAATTCTAAAAGATTATTGCTCTAAAAAGTTAGTTCTTTTAGAGAGAATTGATATTGCAAAAGAAAAAAAAATAGCAATAATGGAGAAAAAAATGAATATGCAGATGGGTATTTTTCATAAAATATCGAATAAATAACAGGAAATACGTCAACACATGTAATGATGGTTGCCATTGGTTGGTACAATACTACAATAATTGTAACGAAAAATCTAAAATTATCGCGGAATATCGTTATCGTAATCACATGGAATACCCGTAAAGTGGTAGTATGCCAGTATAATATCAAAATATTTTTAGATTTTATGGTTTTATTATAAGAGAATAAAAGTATATATTATTATATATAATTGTTATTTTATCTTAATACGATGAAAACATTATTAAATATTAATTTTCACGTAAAGTCCGTCAGTCGTGTGCTGTGTTACCATTTATTTATATAGCTCTTGTGTAAACTGTGGCAACCGTGCATCATTTAATTATTATAGTGTTGATTCTACATTATAGGTAATTATTTATTTTTTTAATTATCACGTGTTATTAAGTAAAAATTTACTATGTCGGAATCCGAAAAATTGACGTGTGTATGCGGTAAAAAACGAGAAAACCTGAATATTACAAATTGGAAAAGACACCTGGACAATTGTAAGCAACGTAAAACAAAAATTAATTCTCGAAGCATTACTTCATTTTTTAATATACCGAAACCGAAGAAAGTATGTATGGATACCGATACAATTTGTTATCCTTATCCAACTTCAGATGGTAAGACTTACACTTTGATAAATGTTTAATAATTATTGCATATTTTTGCAAATGTTTACAAAATTTGAAATTTATTGCATAATTAACAGAAAATTTAAAAAAAAAAATTATAAAATAATATTTTATCAAGTAGGAATATTAAACAGAATTTTGTTGGCATTAAATAATAATTGAAATAAAGATAAAATTTATAAAAATACATTAAGTTCAGAAAATTTTTAAATCATTTTTTTTTCATTAAGTATTTAAGTACCTAATTAATTATTTGTGAATACATTTTACTGCATATTATAATATGGCATATTTCGTTACTTCTTAGTGCATAAAAATCCGTGATCTAGTCATGTATATTACAACGTATAAAATAAAACCAATTTATTTATAAGAATTTAGTATTTTAGTACTTTTAATAAATTTATTTTAGCGTTCATAAATGATTCAGGTTCTAGTGTTCATGAGCAAATTAAGCAAAAAGACATGATTCTTACTTCCAGTTCTTTAAATAAAAACGGTAGGTAAAAATGTTTATAATATGCTGTTTTAAATGTTGTTCTAATGCCTATTTAAATACACATTTTTAGTTTTGGACTCTGTTGTTGGTAATACATTTAGTCAAATCGCAAAAGAAATTGATCAAGACAGTGGTAATTGTTTTAATAAAAATGGTAGGTAAAAATGTTTATAATATGCTGTTTTAAATGTTGTTCTAATGCCTATTTAAATACACATTTTTAGTTTTGGACTCTGTTGTTGGTAATACATTTAGTCAAATCGCAAAAGAAATTGATCAAGATAGTGGTAATTGTTTTAATAAAAATGGTAGGTAAAAAATGTTTATAATATATAATATTTACAAATATTTAATAAAATAAAGGTTGGTAATAATAGTTTTTTTTTATGTATATATTTATATAGATATGAATTCTATCAATACTGACATGGAGACTGTCGATATCGAAGTGGATACTGAGATGGAGACTGTAGACATGTTCAGAAATGACCCAGCACATTTTGTCAAGTTAAAACATATAACACCGGAAATTAGAAGTTTAATATTAGAACTAGGTCCTTGTCAACCACTGTCAAATGATCTTCCAGGAAAGAGTTTTCCTAAAAATGGTTCAAAAGAAAATAGAAGCTTTAAAGAAATATACTATTACCGGATTCTTCCTGACAAAACAAAATGTCTCCGCGATTGGCTGTCATATTCTCCAAGCAAAAACAAAATATATTGCATGCATTGTTTTTTATTTGGGACAAATTTGCACAAAAATCTAGAGAAATCATGGACAAAAAATGGATTTGACTCATGGAAAAACTTGTCTTCCGGAATAGAGTATCATGAACTTACAAATGATCACATAAACGCCACATTAAAGTATAAACTTCGAAAGACTTCAACTCCAATTTTGCCTAGTTTGGAATATCAGCGTAAAATTGAAGTCTCAATGAATCGACAAGTAATAAATGAAATTATAGACATTGTTTTATACTTAGCAAGACACAATTTGGCTTTTCGAGGTCATAGAGATAACTGGTCAGTAAGTTCGCCTGGTGGTAATTTCAAAGACTTGGTTATTTTATTAGCTAAAAGTTCAGCTCCATTATCTGACCATTTAAATAGTATAAAACTAAAAAAAAAAGGTCAAATTTCTTTTGTTACCTGGGAAAGACAGAATCAGTTAATAGATTCAATATCTCATGATATTTCCTCTCAAATTCAACAAGCAGTTGTTCAATCCAATATGTTTAGTATATCTATTGATTCTACTTTTGATGCTTCACGTCGCGAACAAGTATCATTTGTTATTAGATATGTTGATGATACATTTGGGTTAATTCACGAAAGAGTCATTGCTATTAAAGAATCACCTATTACAACAGGAAAAGACTTGTACAGCTTATTTGTTGCTATTATGGAAAAAGAAAAACTTAATTGGAAAGATTGCCTTGTTGGGCAGTCTTATGATGGTGCTTCAAACATGCGCGGAAATTACAAAGGCTTACAAGCACATATAAAAAGAGAATGTCCACAAGCTTTGTATGTATGGTGTCATGCCCACCGACTAGCCTTGGTAGTCAAGCAAGCTGTATCCTGTGACTCAAATTCAAGAGACTTGTTTGGAAATTTGGAAAGTCTATATGTCTTGTTATGGTGTTCAAAAAAAAGAGCAGCAACATTTAGAGAAGCTCAAAAAAAACACTCAGACTTAAAATACACCCAAGAGCATGCTGTTAAACGAGTCTGTACAACACGTTGGAATTCCCATTCAGCAGCTTTGAATGTAGTTATCAAGTTTCATCATGCAGTTTTACAAACATTGGAAGAAATAAAAAATCTTGAAGGAGTTACTGATGCAACTGTTGGTGCCAATTGTAGTGGTCTTATAGATTATTTTACATCACGGAGATTTTTATTAACTGCTTTCACATTCAAAAAGCTATTCGACATATTAGAAGTAGTTACAAGACAATTTCAAACACATGATATGGATATTTTATTGGCAACAAGTATTGTAACTAAAACAATTAATTCGATTAGAAAATTGAGAGCAAATAATTCATTTGAGGAAATTATAAAATTAACAGATAATTTTATCAATGAGAGTGACACAGATTTTATACCATTAAAAAATATTAGACCTAGGCGTGTTCCAATTAAAGCAGGTATGATATTATTTATTTCAATTTTACAATGCTATGTAATTAACTAAAAAATAAATATAAAAATATTTTCAAGGTTAAATTATATATTAGTTATTTTTAGTGAATAAAACAACTAATTGTATTTTATTAATTATTTAGGTGAACTAATGCAAGATGATCCTATTGTTTGTCCAATTAAAAAGTTTGAGGTAGAAACATACAATGCTGTAATAGATATGACTCTAAATGAATTGAGTGACCGGTTTGAAACAACAAATATTGGACCATTAAAAGACATAGCATTGCTCTCATATCGTAGAATACAAGAAGTGCACAATGATCCAACAATGCTACCCAAAGATTCATTTATAGAGTTATGTGAGGTCTATTCAAAAATTAATAGAGATTGTTTGATTTCTGAATATATGCAGTTTTGTAAAAATTTAAATGAATTTGAAAATAACTTAAATTTACCAAAGTTTTTGCATGATGTTAGTAATAATAAATCAAGTAATGATGAAGATGAAAATGATAATAATGATGACAACATTTCTATGTTTGAACTAAATACGTATGATGATTTAAATGAAACTTCGAATGATAATGATCAAAGAGCAATTAAAAACATTGGGAGTACTAAAAAAATTTTTCAAATGTTTTGTACAGCTAATTTAACCAGTTGTTTCCCAAATTTGTATGTAGCATTAAAATTATCAGTCACTCTTCCAATTTCAAGTTGTAGTGTAGAGCGTTCATTCTCAAAGTTAAAACTGATCAAAACTAAACTTCGAACTTCCATGCTACAGGATAGGTTAGAAAACTTGATGAAAATCAGTTGTGAAAAAGACTTAAATCCAATAGTAGACAATATAATTTTATCGCTAGCTGGAAAAAGTTCCAGCTTATGTAAAGCATTAGTGTATTAATGTACTTTGTTAATGTATGTTTAAGTTATATTTTTTTTATGAACAAATGTTCAATTTTTCTTATTGTAAACACATTACACCATTGATTATAATAATTTGTTATTTCTATTCAATTAATATGAATTTATAATATTAAATAATTAAAAATTGATCTGTTATGACATTATGTTATTATTATTTAATATTAAATATGTAAGAAATGAGTTAAAATTTAAACATTTGTATTTAATTACCATTATTACTAATGATCTATAATAATTATATTCATATTTTATATTGAATTTAAACATAATATCTATGTTTGCATAAATAGTTCTAATCAAAACTGTAAATTGAGGAATATAAAAATACACAATTTTTTTATAAATACCTATATATATTTCTTATTAGTAATAGTTTATTTGTATGATTCTAAAGTGGGTACCATAATTTTGGATTTTTGCTTGTTATACGTATAACACAGTTTTATGAACTTATTAAGGATATATATATATATATTAATATATTATAACTGCCTTATTGAAAGCAATTAAGATAATTAACTTAAATAGGTATTTAGGTAAGGTGGATGGGTGGGTGGGTGGGTTGTCAATTATGATTTGCCCTACATATATTTTTATACTTCGGCGCCCCTGTCATATAAAATCATATAATGATATTCATTGATTATTATAGCATATTTTTTTTATTTTTTAATAGAATATAAGTAGAATATAAGTATTATTTTTTATATTAAAAGACGTGTCCCGTTTACACAAAATCATATATTTATTGATATTAAATTTTATAATAATGCAATTAAAGGTACATTACACTAGCACCACAACCTAAACTATATTCTTCGAAATCGGTTCCATTATTTAGTAACTAATTAGTAACCATTCGTAACCTAAAATTTGGAATTCGTAACCTAAACCAAGTACCGGAAAAACCGTTTATCCCAACCGGGTGCTGGCGTAACGTTACAACAGCACCCGAACATTGAAATATTCTACTTAGGAAGTTCAAAACCATACTAGGTTTTAGTAACCAATTAGTAACCATTCGTAACCGAAAATTTGGAATTCGTAACCTAAACCAAGTACCGGAAAAACCGTTTTTTCCCAACCGGGTGCTGGCGTAACGTTACAACAGCACCCGAACATTGAAATATTCTACTTAGGAAGTTCAAAACCAAACTAGGTTTTAGTAACCAATTAGTAACCATTCGTAACCGAAATTTTGGAATTCTTAACCTAAACCAAGTACCGGGAAACCCGTTTTTTCTCAACCGGGTGCTGGCGTAACGTTACAACAGCACCCGCACATTGAAATATTCTACTTAGCAAGTTCAAAACCAAACTAGGTTTTAGTAACCGATTAGTAACCATTCGTAACCGAAAATTTGGAATCCATAACCTAAACCAAGTACCGGGAAAACGGTTTTTTCTCAACCGGGTGCTGATATATTATAATCCTTAATATACTCTTTGAATATAGTTTTATCAAGTATATACAAGCATATCCTTGATCAAAAGTATTTTCGGTAGTTTTAAATTATATAAAAAATATATAAAATATTTTTTATTTTTTAGCTTTATTTTTTTCATAATTTTAAATTAGTATAATTTTATATATATTTTTATATATCATATACTTTTTTTACCAATTTTTTAACAAATATTTTATTGATTCGTAAGAAACTGAATTTTTATTAATATTTATATAAAATTTGAATTTTTTATCAGACTTTTTACTAATTTCTTCTTTTATATATGAAATTAAGTTATAACAGAGATCTCTGTCTAAAAAATTATTAATATGTTTATTAAAAATACGTTGATAAAAAATTCATAAATTATGAAAAACATAAATTAAATTTATATTAATTAAAAAATGTAAAATGTATGATAAAAATGTATATTTTATAAAAAATATAAATTAAATATAAATCTTAGTAAAAATTATATTTGATAAAAATCTATAAATAAACTCTATGTTATAAAAAAAATGGATAAGAAATCAGTTTTATACAAAATATGTTAAAAAAATCAAAAAAAAATCTATCCGATAAAAAATTCAAATTGAATATAAATGTTAATAAAAATTCAGTTTGGTCTTATCGATAAAAAAAATTGTAAAAAAAAATTGATAAAAACATAAATTGAATTTATATTAAACAAAAAATGTTCGATAAAAAATTCATATTTTATAAAAATTTAACTCTTAATAAAAATTCTGTTTGTTAAAAAATCAATAAAAAATATGCTAAAAATTGATAAAAACCATCTTGAAAATTGATAAAAAAAATCAGTATGATATTAAATTCATATTATATAAAAAATAAGTTTATTGAATTTATGTTTAATTTTTAATTTTAAAAAAATGTATAAAAAATCAGTTTAATAAAAAAATCAATAAAAAATGTGTTAGGTATATGAAAATGTGTTTCAACAGAAAACTCTATGATCCCGCTAAGTTTAAAATGGGGTTGACTGGTTTGGAGGTAGCACCAATTTTTATTTTTGTATATCCTGATAGCACTAATTGAGCACTAAAAGTTGAAACGACACGGAATTTGGACGGAATAACAGATGTTAGAGGATATAGTAGCTACTATAGATACACTTATGTCCTAATATCAAGTATGAACCAAACCATAAACCATAACCGACGTGTGAAAATGTATGGTCTGTATTGTAAAAATTCATATCTTAAATCCGGCCATATAGTGTTGTTAGATGCTTTTACAGCATACGTAAAGGTGTGTTACAACTTACAATAGCTTTATGTGGATATGTCAAAAATAACCAAAGTTCTTCAGGAACATGATTAAATAGAATCGCGGAAAAAAGCCCACGGAAAAAAAGCCCAAGGAAAAAAAACCCAGAAAAAAAACCTAACCTAATAGGTATTCCTACGAAATATTCCTTCGTATGAAAATACTTAACAACATTTATTTAAATATTTTTGTTTTATATTCAGTAAGAAGATTCAAATATAAAAATAAAATATTTAAATAAATGTTGTTAAGTATTTTCATACGAAGGAATATTTCGTAGGAATACCTATTAGGTTAGGTTTTTTTTCTGAATTTTTTCCTTGGGCTTTTTTTCCGTGGGCTTTTTTTCCGCGATTCTATTTAATCATGTTCCTGAAGAACTTTGGTTATTTTTGACATATCCACATAAAGCTATTGTAAGTTGTAACACACCTTTACGTATGCTGTAAAAGCGTCTAACAACACTATATGGCCGGATTTAAGATATGAATTTTTACAATACAGACCATACATTTTCACACGTCGGTTATGGTTTATGGTTTGGTTCATACTTGATATTAGGACATAAGTGTATCTATAGTAGCTACTATATCCTCTAACATCTGTTATTCCGTCCAAATTCCGTGTCGTATCAACTTTTAGTGCTCAATTAGTGCTATCAGGATATACAAAAATAAAAATTGGTGCTACCTCCAAACCAGTCATCCCCATTTTTAAACTTAGCGGGGGATCATAGAGTTTTCTGTTGAAACACATTTTCATATACCTAACACATTTTTTATTGATTTTTTTATTAAACTGATTTTTTATACATTTTTTTATTACGTGGATATTTTTTATACATTTTTTTTAAATTAAAAATTAAACAAATTCAATAAACTTATTTTTTATATAATATGAATTTAATATCATACTGATTTTTTTTATCAATTTTCAAGATGATTTTTATCAATTTTTAGCATATTTTTTATTGATTTTTTAACAAACAGAATTTTTATTAAGAGTTAAATTTTTATAAAATATGAATTTTTTATCGAACATTTTTTGTTTAATATAAATTCAATTTATGTTTTTATCAATTTTTTTTACAATTTTTTTTATCGATAAGACCAAACTGAATTTTTATAAACATTTATATTCAATTTGAATTTTTTATCGGATAGATTTTTTTTTATTTTTTTTAACATATTTTGTATAAAACTGATTTCTTATCCATTTTTTTTATAACATAGAGTTTATTTATAGATTTTTATCAAATATAATTTTTACTAAGATTTATATTTAATTTATATTTTTTATAAAATATACATTTTTATCATACATTTTACATTTTTTAATTAATATAAATTTAATTTATGTTTTTCATAATTTATGAATTTTTTATCAACGTATTTTTAATAAACATATTAATAATTTTTTAGACAGAGATCTCTGTTATAACTTAATTTCATATATAAAAGAAGAAATTAGTAAAAAGTCTGATAAAAAATGTATATTTTTTAAAAAATTCAAATTTTATATAAATATTAATAAAAATTCAGTTTCTTACGAATCAATAAAATATTTGTTAAAAAATTGGTAAAAAAAGTATATAATATATAAAAATATATATAAAATTATACTAATTTAAAATTATGAAAAAAATAAAGCTAAAAAATAAAAAATATTTTATATATTTTTTATATAATTTAAAACTACCGAAAATACTTTTGATCAAGGATATGCTTGTATATACTTGATAAAACTATATTCAAAGAGTATATTAAGGATTATAATATATCAGCACCCGGTTGAGAAAAAACCGTTTTCCCGGTACTTGGTTTAGGTTATGGATTCCAAATTTTCGGTTACGAATGGTTACTAATCGGTTACTAAAACCTAGTTTGGTTTTGAACTTGCTAAGTAGAATATTTCAATGTGCGGGTGCTGTTGTAACGTTACGCCAGCACCCGGTTGAGAAAAAACGGGTTTCCCGGTACTTGGTTTAGGTTAAGAATTCCAAATTTCGGTTACGAATGGTTACTAATCGGTTACTAAAACCTAGTTTGGTTTTGAACTTCCTAAGTAGAATATTTCAATGTTCGGGTGCTGTTGTAACGTTACGCCAGCACCCTGTTGGGAAAAACGGTTTTTCCGGTACTTGGTTTAGGTTACGAATTCCAAATTTTCGGTTACGAATGGTTACTAATTGGTTACTAAAACCTAGTATGGTTTTGAACTTCCTAAGTAGAATATTTCAATGTTCGGGTGCTGTTGTAACGTTACGCCAGCACCCGGTTGGGAAAAACGGTTTTTCCGGTACTTGGTTTAGGTTACGAATTCCAAATTTTCGGTTACGAATGGTTACTAATTGGTTACTAAAACCTAGTATGGTTTTGAACTTCCTAAGTAGAATATTTCAATGTTCGGGTGCTGTTGTAACGTTACGCCAGCACCCGGTTGGGAAAAACGGTTTTTCCGGTACTTGGTTTAGGTTACGAATTCCAAATTTTAGGTTACGAATGGTTACTAATTAGTTACTAAATAATGGAACCGATTTCGAAGAAAATAGTTTAGGTTGTGGTGCTAGTGTAACGAACCTTGCAATTAAGTGATTTTTGTAAAATATTGGACATGTGCCCTTTCTATATTTAACGATTTATATATTATATTACATTATGTGGGTATTCATTTAAACTTTTTCTAGTAACTTAATATTCTACAAAAATCGGTCAATGCTTCTATTTAAGTTGGCAATACCATTGATGAGAGGAATACAATTCTAAAAGATTATTGCTCTGAAAAGTTAGTTCTTTTAGAGGGAATTGCTATTGCAAAAGAAAAAAAAAATAGCAATAATGGAGGAAAAAATGAATATGCAGATCAATGCAAATAAAAATTAATCATTGGTATTTATAAGTTTATTTTATTTTGTTAAAAAATATTTTATTTTGTTGATTGTTACTATATGTATATTATTATTACATTGTATTGAAGAAGTTGGTTTTTTAGTTTAGTTTTAATTTTGTGATAATGAAACTAATATAATCAGACTGAATATAAGATACTTTTATTTTTTTTTTTTGTTACTCTGCAAAGTCTTTTTTTATAAGATTTGTTTATTTAAATGTATATAATATAAATTGTTAAGTATTACACTATTGGTATTTTAATAATTTGTGAATTTTCTGGACTTATTTAAAATATAAATCAATGATTGTCTGTTGCATCCGTTTTCCAGCAGTGAGTTCTTTATTAATTCTGTTGATTATTTGTTCAATTTCGGGATCATTGTCTATATTACCTAAATCTATATCAATCTATATCAAGTCTTTTATACTTCTAATTATTGGTATGTTATTAGAAATGCTAATATTATGTAATATGGTACATGAGTTAATTATACTGGCAGCTTTTTCTGGTAAGTCGTAGTGAAGTACCCTATGTTTAAGTAAGCATCTACAATTGATATTAAAAAGTAAATAGCCCTATTAATTATTACATTTATCATTTTTATACTATTATATATAAACTTACCTAAACCGCATTTTAAGTACCCCATTACAACGTTCAATGATTGATCTAGTTCTGCAAAACCATTTATTATAGTTAGCTTCTGGAGTGTTTGGTTGTGGTTGATACAATGGAGTCAATAACCACTGTCTCAATTTATATCCAGAATCACCTGCCAGTATAATATATTAAGAAATAGCTAAATTATTTCCTACCTATATTATGTGTTTATTAAATAATATTACATTGACGACAGTACGACTGTCAACAATATACGACAATACCTAATTAATATCCAAATAAAATGTATTAAAAATGTATGAGAATAATGAAAATATAAAAAATATAAAATATAAAAATCTCAAAAATTAAATACTAAATAAACTAGGTACCTAATACGATATATATTGGAGACTATATATGTAGTATATAACTCAATTAGGAAGGTACACTAGGGCTGGTTTTTACAATATCCGATTAAGGGCAGTTCTTACAATGTCCGCTAAAGTGTCGGTTAACGCTAACCGACTGATAACAGATTTTATTACCGGCAGAATTCTTCCGGTTAAGTGTCGGTTAACTTTAACCGGACATCGTAAGAACGGCCCTAAGTGTCAGTTATCTTTAACCGTCGAAATTCTGCCGGTAATAAAATCCGCTTACCGCCGCACCAGTTAAGCATTAACAGACACTTAACCGGACATTGTAAGAACGGCACTAGATAATTCACATTGGAAAACCGACATACACATACTTGCTCTTATTTGGAAAAATTAAATTTATGAATGACTTAGTCAATGTATAACCTTCATCTGAGAGACTGCCATTATTTAATTTTGAATCAGCTAATATAACTCTGTCATCATTTGTGCTTTGCAGTAAATTCATCATCGTCTACAAACAATATTGGAAGTTGATTTTTAGTGTTAATTTATAAATAATTTATAACACCGTACCGCAAATTAAATTATTTTGTTACATTATTAACTTAGAATGTTATGTGTGGTAGAATAAAATAAATACTTACTTCAATAGGCATGTATTATTAAATACCTGAGAATTCCCATCCATTGGATTATAAGTAACAAATTTGACATGACTTTGGAAGAACTTCGAGATGAAAAGTGGAAATTCTATTTTTAGAAGATACTGTGGGTTCATTTTCTTTAGTTGCATTATTTGACACCGAATATTCAATACTTTGTATGGGAACGAATTGCGGTTTATCAACTAAAGTTCCATTAGATTTAGGAATAATAACGCTACAACTTACTTCTATAATTAAATTCGTTTTATAACAATTAGGACATATTTAAAAAATCTATGTGCCGTCGAACCGGGTTACTTAGGACTTATGGGTAACTTGAGTACAAATGATATAGTGTTATCAATTATCAGATTAGAGCAGCGGTTCTCAAACTGTGGTACGCGAAAGACTACATGGTGGTAGGCAGAAGGGCGCATGGTGGTAAGACGGAACATTAAAAACAATTAATATTAGATTCTTAGCGTAGCGATGATTTTACTCGGTGTTTCCGAATTGCGGACAAAGTGACAAAAACCATGTGAGTTGCGGACGAAATCTAAAAAGGTAACATACAAATTGAGGAAACAAATATAAGATACTAATTGCGGATAATGTTACAATATTCACGTGGTGAAATCAGTAGAATATCATATATACATGCTGTTTTAAAAACTATGACGATAATTAATAATGACGATAATCTATAATTATTTTATAAACAATTTTTTCCACAAAATTAAAACAATCAGTAATTCAACAACATTTTAAAAATATCGATTGCTCTTTTGCAAGACACAAATATTTTTAACCCCACCTACCAATTTTTTTTTAGCTATTGTCATAAGTCCTGAAAAAGTTGAAAGGGAAATATTTGGGTCTACAACTAACGTAGTTTTTATTAAAAACAGCTCTGTACGCAATTAGTATTAAGACAACGAAACTCGTGTCCGCAATTGTTATATTATAATTCCTAACCTGAATAATTCGTCTGCAACTAGTATGTGTCCATTTTACTATGTCCGGTGTTTTTTTTAATACTCAGATAATAAAGGTTAGATTTAACGGGAAATACGTCAATAAATAAAATATCGTATATGTTGCCACTTGGGCTTGTTACGATGAAAATAAATGACTATGGTTGTGATGATGCTATCTTGACATGGGCAACTGCCTTGGATTCAACGGGATAGGCAACTTAATGTGCACTGCCTTAGAATGACCGGGTAGGCAACCAGATACGACGACGACGAAGATAGGAGGGGACCAAATGAGACTTAAAATTACCGGACCAAGGAAGTTGAGTTTATGCACGGGAACAAGGAAGATTAGTTTAGTTATATGGGGGGGATGTCTTGGTGGTCGGAATCGGTTTGGTGCAATGACCACCAAGCTCACAGAAATCGGCGAATACTTAAAATCTACCCTTAACTCTACGATGATGATGATGATGTGGATGAAGGCTGCAACAAATGACAAACGACGGCGAATGGACTCGAAGACCTTGGCGGCCTCTCACACACCACGGCGGGTGTTGGCGGTCTTACGCATTGACTGATGGCACCAATCCCGCTCGGGCGATTGAAAAGCACTGAGCACACGAGCTGATGAGACGAGTAGGTACACGGTAGTGACACTCAACCAGAAATACAATACGACTCACTTAAATGCTGGTAATGATGGTGCTTTATTGTAATAATAATAACAATCCAATGGTTCCGTGTCGCACTGACTCGGACCGGTGGTAGAATTTGATATAATATGTCGCAATGACTGAACAGGTAAATATGTAATATATATGTGTTGCCGCAGTGGCAACAAAACAAACAATTCCGCGTTGCTCCAATAGCAGAAAAAACAATTAACACGAAACAATAAAACAATACTTTTTTTACATATAATATAAGTAGGTACGTAGATGTGTATAACAAAACTTAACGGAAAATAAAAATAATAATAACAACAATATGGGCGTTGGCCGCGTAATCACAACAAAACATTAAAACAGATGATATAAAAACAAAGACAATATGACGACAACGATAACAATAATAATAAATTAATTTATATAGGTGATTACTGATTATAATATTCACATACCTAACGAGTAATGATAAAATGAGGACGAGGAAGAGGGACAGAGATAAAGGCTGGTCGCCGCCGTTGCGCTGTTTTGCATATCGCATGATAATCACAACACTGAGTCTCGGCAACAGTATATAATCATTGATATATTTTATCGCGTATGTTCGTATACAAATTCTGATTATTTTATATCAGTACTAAATATTTTCTCTTCGGCCGTTTAGTTTGTTGGTGTTAGTCAACGTAAGCAGTCGAGTTTATCTCTTTAAATATTTAAGTTCGTACATTATTTTATATCAGTACTAAAAAATTTAAAACATGGATAAGAGGCTAAATAGAGCAACAGACAATACATTTACGTCTGAAAACTGTTCAGTAAGTTCTGCTTCAAAGTTGGAAAGCGCAAGTGAAGATGTGAATAATCCTATGAAAATAAGAAAATGTGTAAGGAAATATGATCCTGAGTACATTAATATTGGATTCACGGCCATAGACGTAAGCAATGAGCCTCGGCCTCAATGTGTTATCTGTTTTGAAATTCTTTCTAACCAAAGTATGAAACCGTCCTTATTAAATCGTCACCTTTCTACAAAACATTCGACGTTAAAAAACACACCAAAGGACTATTTCGTTCGAAAGTTGTCAGAGATGAAAAGCACGAAGAAAATTATATCATCTTTTAGCGGTTGTACCTACTGAAAAAGCAGTGGAAGCATCTTTCTTAGTGAGCTTAAGAATAGCGAAGTGTGGAAAACCTCATACCATCGGCGAAGAACTTATTTTACCGGCGGAAAAAAATATGGTAACTTGTATGTTAGGTGAACCGCAGCTAAACAACTGGATATGATATCACTGTCAAATGATACAGTTCGACGCAGAATTTAAAGTATGGCATTGAACGTTAAAGAAAAATTAATTAATCAAGTGAAAAATAGTGATTTTTTTTCCATACAACTTGATGAAAGTACAGATGTATCAAACTATGCTCAACTTATGGTTTACGTGCGGTATGTACCTATTTCAAACTGTAATTAAAGAGGATTTACTAAACACGAACTATTTAAACGAAATATTTAAAAAGACGAAATATTTAAAAAGTTGAACCACTTTTTAGTTGAAAATGGATTTTTTTTTTTTTATAATTTTTATTAGTAATATACAATCTATGCACAAAGGCATAATAAGAATATGTGCTTAAATAAGTTTTAACATGAAATAGGGTGAGGGAAGAGACCATCCAGTGATCGCACTTCACTTTGCTTAAAAGTGGAATAGAATCTTAAAAGATTAAACTGGAAAAAGTGTGTTGGCTTCTGTTCTGACGGTGCTCGAGCTATGACAGGTAAACATGGAGGTGTTGCGACTAAAATAAAATTGGTTACAGAAAATTATACTTTCATACATTGCAGCATCCACAGGGCTTTTTAGTAGTAAAACGTATGACAGAACAATTTAAACTAGTACTCCAGGAAGCCATAAATGTAGTCAATTTTATTAAATCTCGGGCTCTACAGTTTCGTTTATTTACAAAACTGTGTTCCAAAATGGGAAGTGATCACATTCAATTGCTTTTACATACGGAAGTGAGATGGCTCTCTCGAGGAAGAATGCTTAGCAGGTTATTTGAACTACATTCTGAGGTTCAGTTATTCCTAGGAGAGACTAATTTTGAACTCAAAGATAAATTGACAGATAACCTGTGGATAACAACATTGGCATACTTATCAGACATTTTCAATCGTCGCAATGTATTAAATTTAAGTTTACAAGGTAAAACAATAAACAGATGTTCAATGAATGACAAAATGAAAGGCAAAATTATCTTTATTAAGATAGGTAATTTAAATGATAAGTAATAATGTTTCGAACGAAAACCTACAGTCTTTTCCTAATTTGGAACAATTTGTGACAGAACACGAACTTCAAGTCGAAACTGATCTCATAAAAAACATAAAACACCATTGTAAAATGCTAAAAACAACGTTTGAAGAATATTTTAAAGAAGATTATTCGGAATTTTTTTGGATAAGAAACCCATTCATTTTGGATTTGTATGATATTCCTAAGACACTAACAAATAATGAAAAAGAGACTTTGATAGAATTGTCATGTGATGAAAGTTTGAAAATGGGATTTAATAAATTAGAATTTGGTGAGTTTCGGATAAAGATAAAAACAAATATCCGTTGCTGTCTAAAAAAGCATTGTTATTTTTATTACCATTCACAACCACTTATCTTTGTGAAACTGGATTCTCCTCAATGATCGAAGTATAAAACAAGTTTCGAAACAAACTGAATATCGAACCAAATTTACGCTTAAAATTAAGTAACGCTGAACCAGATACTTCATCGCTAATATCAAATCTACAAATCCATAGTTCTCATTGGAAATGTGCTATTTAATTCATATCTTAACTTTTAAACACTAATAAATTTAACTAGGTAAAGTTTGTATTGTTCTATTTTTAATCATCAGTGGTACGCAACTGATTGATAATATACTTAAGTAGTACGCGAAAAAAAATGTTTGAGAACCGCTGGATTAGAGCATTATCAATGATTGTTTAGCAAGTCTGGAAGTGCCGATGCGGGAGTGTCATAACATTTGCGACAACCACACCTGAATCGTTTCCCTGAATCCAGGGTTTGAAGGTTAGGAATTCGCTCGAGGTTGGTAAATAAACTAATAACATCCGTACCCGTCGCCAATATAAATTTAAAAAACCACACAAGTATAAATAAAAACAACTATAAAATAAATAAACAAAAACGAATATAATACAAATAGACCTCGCTGCAGATATATACAACAACTCCTTCTTGTCATCGAAGTCGACCGCCATTTACAAAGCAGTCAATGTTTTTGTGGTGTATGACGTATCGTGAATCAACTTGTTCGAAATAACGAATAACACAGTTTACGGGTATAATTGATGTTTATTAATTAAGAAGAATGAACATGAAAATGATGGAGCGTGCGTCGGTCACTGCACGTGGTTGTTGTCGGTGACAGGGTCAAATTTGCTGCCCAAACTCTTAGCACATCAACAACAGATGCTTTAGAATGCCCTAGATATTTTTCTAATACTGAGGCTACTGTAAAATACTGTCGCAATATTGATGGACTTTTTGATTTTTTAAATACACGAAACCATTTTGCCATAGGATTTAAATCCGCTACTTTTAATTCAGTTTATGGAAAATACGATATTAGCTTTAATTGATTATCTGTTTTTTATGAGTATTGGTGATAACTGATAAGCTTTGAAAAGACAAATAAAAAACTTTTATTTTTGGTTTTGCAACTGCAGTCAGGCGCGGATCCAAGGGGGGCTAAGGGGCTTTGCCCCCCCCCCATTTGGACGTGTATATATTTATATATTATATATTATAATTATATTATTATATATTACACTGGTGTACACGTCTGGTCGACACCGTGAATTTTGGCGGAGTGGAAAATTATGTGATACTATGATTATGGTATCAGTGTTCGCGTGTAATGTGCACTAGATACATTGTTTTAGTCATGGCCTAAATTTGTGTATATCAAAAGTTTGTGAGCTATCTTCTGTTAGAAACATGGTTGGGATTGTCTACCTCAGCTAAACGCAACAATATTTTGTTAGCAGCCATTGAGAATACTGGTGCTGTGTCATTGCCAAAAAAAACAAAATTAAAAGCCATGTGTACAACTCGGTGGGTTGAGCGTCATGACTCAATTATTACTTTTCGTGAACTTTTCCCGTATATCGTGAATGCTCTTGATATAACTGAAGAAGATTTTGACCGTGATATATTAACTAAAGCAGTAAGCTTCAGTTCTTCCATAAAAAGAAGCGATTTCCTTGTCAGTTTAGAAATAGTTGCAAATTTGTTTTCCTACACTAAAGATTTAAGTATTAGACTACAAAGTCCAAAACAAGATTTATCTAGTGCATTCTCACATTTTAAAGAAGTAATTAAAATATTTGAAGCGAAGAGAAATAACTGTGATGAAGAATTTTCTATCTATTTTAAAAATGCATCTGAAGTAGCAACAAAAATTGAAGAAGAAATAAAAATTCCTAGGCTGTGTGGTCGGCAAACAAATAGAAATAATATTAAGACGTCAAATCCTGAAGATTAGTTCAGAATTACTATTTATATTCCCTTTATTGACCATTTTATAACAGAATTAAATTCAAGATTTAATGATAGGTTCAAAGATATTATTCCATTAGAAGGATTGATCCCTGCTAACAATAATAAGTATAAAACAGAAGAGATATTGTTCGCGCCGTCATCACCGCCACTCGCATATAGTACAGTACGTAGGTACTAGTACATCCCACCACACACACAAACGACAGTAATCATTATTAAGATTATTATATAATATGTAGATAAGGCCGTGACCAGGCATTGTCCAGCAAAGGCCAGGCGCGGTGCGGCAGTCCGTTCGGTCGTCGCACGCAGTCGACGTACCTATATTATTACAGGCGCGAATCGTCGCAAATTTTGTTTTACCGTCCGTTCCGTAGTGCTACGAGATATAAGTGACCGTTATAGGCGCGAATCGCCGTAAAAATTGTTTTATATTTGTAAGGCGCTAATCGCCATCGTTATTTTTTATATTAATTATATTGTAGTTGTTGGTGGCGCAAATCGCCATCGTTATTATTATTGTTATTGGTCAGGCGCGAATCGCCGGCGTTATTATTATTATTATTTAATTGTTGTTACGACGCATTGTGTGTGCCGTTGACATTATTATTATTATTAAACCCATAGGATAGGTAGCAGCTGGCCAGCCGAGCACCGTCATATTTGTAAGTTTTTTATATATATATATATTTTAATTAATATTATTTGTATTATCGGTTTGATACCAGAAGTGCCATTTATAATTATAATTTATACATTTGTACTGCTGTGATATTATTATATATGATATTGTGTGTTGTCGATCTTATTAAATTAAATTTTTGAATTATACAGCAACTTAACACATTACTCTTTATTATTTACTTAAGTTGCGTTAGGTACCTGTCCATTAGTTTAAGCACACACATCACAATATACACACATTTACACATCCACCCACACTCTAGCACTCACAGGTTTTGCTCGGCGACCCTGTCCACTTTCTGTTGAGTGCTACCCACATATATACACACCATAACACATGTCGGTCGGTGCGTAGTGGTGCGCGAAGTATTTAGGTGACCGGGCGCACGGACTATTTCTGTTCGTACCCGGCCCGTACAGATATTAAAAGCGGCATTAATGTATGATGAAGATATACCAGCTAATTCTCACTTGGAAATACAAGCTGAATTAGAACTCTTTTTTTTTTAAGAAAAATTTAAGTATATTATCTCTTATAAGTTTTCTCAAGACCATCTAGAGATCTTTTTTGCTCGTGTAAGACAGAGTTACTTTAACCCATCAATACATTTATTCCAGCTTGCAGGTCTTCGTTTAGTTACTTCAAAACTTGCAATAACTTCTTAGTTTTTTCGCTTATATTGGGATACTTCTCCTGATATGCAAAATATAATTGTACGGGATTGTATGCGTTGCGATAAATTTTAAGACATTTGTAGTATACTGTATTGTGCAGATAACTCCAGTATAAATGCTGATAAATTTTATAAGTTAAAGCCTTTAATAAAGATATAAAAAATCGTTTTTCAAAACACTTTGTTCCTGAAC